CATTGCATCTCGTCATCTTTTCCGTTTACGTCACGCATGTGTAATACATGTAATTTTTGGAGACAATTTTTTTTTATACACGGTAAATGAGGAAGTTAACAGTCTAGCGTATATCCTTAATAGATGTCTGTGATGAAAGCTAGCCGATTCGCGCGATTGACAATGTTTCCGCGTTTTACGCAGAGATGCTTATTCTTTATGCATATTTCTTACAGTCCGAATCGCTCCGCTTTCGTGCTTTCGTGCTTTCGTGCTTTCGGGCGTTCGTGCGTTCGTCACGAAAAAAGTGAAACGAGAAAAATATCGCGGCCTTGATAACGAGAGCGAATCTCGAAGAAAAATGCGAGTGCAAAAGTGAATGTGATGAAAGATGGAAACAGCGTCGCGTCACGCAAAATGTTTCGATGTTCTTTGCGTGTGCGTGAACGAGAATATTTTTCAGAAAGGTGATATTTTATTAGTGCGTAATGATAAAAACTGAAAATAAACTCGCTGCGCGCAGTCGAAAGAAAGGAAAAGCAATACGAACGCGCCCTTAGATTTTTTAGGCAGGTCGAGCCTCTCGGCGAGATAACGTTTTATTACGTTTTTAGACGTCTGACTGACGATGAGACATGCCGGGCGACAACACGCGCGGTTCGTCTCACTCACTTGGCTCTCGGGTAAGTTTCCTTGGGAAAACAAAGAAAAAAATCGAAGCGACGACCGAAGCGAATTGACAAATTGCGAAAACGCACTCTCGTCTCTGTGCGCCTCTCTTTCCGTTCCTACTACTTAATCTACTACGTTCTGTACTCTCGAACTCGAAAATGTGTTGAGAGAGTCAATTTTGATCATCATGAAAATTGAATTACGGTCACGACAGCTCGATCACGGAAATTAGGCTTTCGAGAGATCGAGTTTAGAGCAACGGTCCGATGCACACTTCTCTTAGAAATTAAACGAGGATTAATTTTACTTAACCGCGAGATTTAATTTCATACTTATTTTCTTCAACTCTTGGAAAAGAGAGATCTTGTCAACGTTTAACTCTTTTAATATTTTTTTTTTTTTATCGAGTATCTGACACGAATATAAGCTCTCACTCATCGAAAACATTCAAAGAACACCGAACACAGTCTCTCGATCATTTCCAGTCTAGATGTTTCGACATCCAAAAAGTAGGACGTGGATTATGAGTGATTCATAATTGAGGACAAACTTATATTTGCGTTAGGTATCTTGATAACTGAATTAGGAAAGAGAAAAGGGGAATATGATGCGTAATATGCTGTAGATTAATAGTGATATTGGACTGACCTGGACCTTAATCGAATGATGCGTCAATTCGAACGTCTATTGAAATAAAATCTATTTTCGATTCACATTTTTCTGTAGTATAACGTTTACTTTATATTCAAAGTTAACTTTAGTCCAAAAAACGTGTCTGAAGATTAAAGCAATGATGTCATGATGTATGTCGCGAAAGGATCGCTATAACATAAATGTAACGATACGCACAACACTTGTAACACGGATACTGGGATAATTTGAGGATATTTTTGTGCCTCCACGATGTGCCTCGTTTTGATCATTCGCTCTTTGCGCAACCGAGAAGCCTTCTTTCACACAATTCTTCAAAAAATTAGGAGCTGTTCACAACTGTTGCTCTTTGACGTAAAGATATGCAAGTACATTTGTATGCGACGGCAATTTTCACCAAGATCAACTCTTAAACTCTTATTGCATAATTTGTTAATTAAGATTTATCTATCATTGTTAAAATAGAGATTTATCACTAGTAATACGATTAAGATCTATTGTTATATTTTTAAATAAGACCAAGATTATTTTTTCGGATAATGAGAATTACCCTTGCGGTACTTTTACACACACTTGCGTATCTCTCGTATCGGCGATTAACTTTACGTGTACGTTCGTTTAATCCTTTTTTTTTTTAATTTTCTGTATAATTTTATGCGAGTGTAAATGGAATTATTGTAATATTATTACGAGTGTGATGCTAGCGAATTATAGATTCATCCGTAAATGTATCATTGCATCGCGTGAGCGATCTAAATTACATTGCCAGCCGTTGCAACCTGAATCGGCATCATTCAATATTTTGGTATCGGTCTTTGAAAATTATTGTTATCGCTCCTAGTCCATTAAATAAAAACGATTTCAAACACAACAAGAATGTCCAAGTAATGGCAAGTAAACAATTTCCACTCTTTTGAGAGAAATCTTTTTATTCGAAATAATGTCGCTCGAGAGAAGTAAAGCGGAAAGAAATCAGAGGAATCTAGAAGTACGATCGCGAGAGGCGCACCGAGTATTGAGATAAAACAGAAAGAAGGAAGAGAACTTTGCCGTGCATCCGAGTTCTGATCTTGACGCGACCATGCTCATACACACACCCACACACACCACACACACACACACACACAAACGCACACGCGATACACGCGGTGTTACTATTACGTTATTTAAATTAACATGTTAACGCTAGTATGATAATCTTTTGTTTATTTAGTTTTTAAGCGTAATAATTATATCATTAGTTCTTCATCTTTTGTGTATGCGTGTGTATGTGTGTATATATATATATATATATATATATTCGCAATCTCAATAAAATAATAAACAAAAAAAACAAAAAAGCCATCAAAAAGTGTGCAGCCTCCCATTTCATTACCACTGCCATTGCGATTTACATAATGTACATGATTATAATTATAATGACAAATAAACAATATATAATATATATATATATATACATATATATATAATCTTGTCATTATTTCTGTGCGCATGTCTTCTTCTTGCAGAACAGAGGAAAGAAGAAAATCAAACAGACGGCAGTTGCATTTTATTTGCAAGTTGCAGTTTATTTGCAATTTGTTCATATAATTGGTAACTGATTTCGGATATAACTAATACTAGAAACCTAAACAACGTATGAAATTTTATACATATCTAATTATCTTAGTAGTGCTAAGGCGACTATTTACAAGTAAACGCATTGAGCCGTTTTTCGCGATGTGTAGCACGGGTGTCGGGAGAGCTATACATATTCCGTTGCCTATACGCACATCGTACACATTTTTCGAAAATGTGGCCCAGGCGTTCGAAGGAGGTTTGGATTTGTCTGTGCGTTTGCATTCAGACTTTGCCACGGAATTGTCTCTACCCACATAGTGTTTCCTCTGCTTTTTCCAAAATACTTTCTTTTTCTCAATCATTAAAAATATCAAATTGTCGAAAATGATATGACACGATGGCTGGATTGTAACAGCAAAATTCGCTTCAGTAGTGAATAGTACCTTATATAATTGATATAATATGTACCTCATCTTCACAAAAAAAAAACAACAAAAAATAGTTTTACAAGAAAAGCGAGATTTTATTTTTGGACAGCGCGAGTTTTGCACTAGAAGAACTTGATACAAGTCGGATGTTTCTCGTAGCAAAAATCAAAATTCGTATACACGAGAAAAGACCTTATTTAAATTTGGAACAAGATGCTTGCGAATTGACAGCAGAAGCGACATGTATATGGGAGACAAATCATTCCGAAACATTATCCAATTCCTTTTAGCACTTTTGTGAGGGATAAATAAGTTAGAAAAAAGGATTGCCGACAAACCAACGAAATGTAGCTGCGACATACGCTAATCGATAACACGAGCACTGATATCGATAATTGTAATAAATCAGTAGTTTTTCTTCGTGCGCTATTTTAAAGGATAAGACAATCGTTGTGTGCGACTTGTGTCATTGCGATATGACATTGTGTGTGTGTGTGTGTAGAAGAATATCGCAAAAATACCGCGTTCGTAAGTTTGAATTTTGTCATTTCGTGATATTAGATAATTTCGTAACGCAAACACGTATACGTATAATGAAAATTAACGTCGTACGGCATGTTAGCAGAGCAATTCAACAAATGTTAAAACACCGCAGTTTCTATAACGTAAAAATTATCATGAAAAAACAGATTGGCAAATACACCAGAAATGAAGACATAGCACTATACGAAATTCGTCAAGGGCTTCTGAAGAGCTTGTAAAGATACTTGATCGCTCGACAGACGATGAGTTATCCAATTATCTTCAAATAACTGTACGGTATGTATAATGTATATTCGACAGCGTTAACGTCGTCCGATGCGTCCACGTTTTTAAAGAGACTATGTGTACGATGTATGATTCAATTATTTCTTCACGTAATCAAGTAGTCGAGTTATGTTATCAACAGTTTCTAGTAAAATGAAAAGATGTTTCTTGAATGTTAATTAAGGCGCATTGGATGGCATTAATGCTTTGTATGCATTTATATACCGTCTATGTGTGCAATGTTTACAAATAATATAGACGCTTCCTTAATATAAAACTAAATTAAAGTTCAATTTTAATTTTAAAAAAATTTTTTTAGCGCTAAGAATGAGGAAAGATCATTGAATCATTGAATAATCACTGAATTCAAGACAACAATCATTTAGCTCCATTTAGCATGTCGAGAATAAAATAATAAAATATTTTTGTGCGCGATATAATCTCTTTTCGACGAGTTTCCACGTTGATTGCCGTTGATTGTTGAGTGCTGATTCTCTTTTGTCAGACACAAACGTAATAAACACATTGTTCTAAGGAAAGCAGAAGAACCTCGCGATAGATGACGATCAAATATACGGCCACTAAAAAATAAATTTATGACGCACCCGTTACAATGACGTTAAAACCCTCGAGGAACATAAATTTAGTATTATCATCTGTGCGCAAATTGGGGAAATTGGAATTTTTTTCTCCCATGCGTGAATTTTGTCACTGATTCTACAATATAAATTTAGGAAATCGAATTCTGTGATTTCTCTGCACGTTTCCACGTCCAACTTTCCAATAATATATGTATGTATACAGGATGATGATTCTCTCATAGAAGAGAGAGTGCAAGAGAGAAGGGAGGAGGAGGGGGGGGGGAGGGGAGGGGGGAAGCACCATTACAGGAAAGTACAACTATTGCTTACTAAGGCGTCTACTCCTCGAATATAAAGAAATATCAATAAAAATAATGCAATAACGTACAACAGCTAAGGCTCGTTGTGGCGTTACGCGATAGCGTGTGTGTTTCGTCGTGCTTACAAGACGGCCTACGGAGAACTATGCTCCGGAATGAATTGCACCGCATTAGAACCAGACCGTTTAAAAACACAGTCATTCATATCCAGGAGTGCCGTGAAATTTATAATAATATAACAATACTAAATTTCAGATTTTTCCACAAAGAAAACTGCCTTACAAAGACGCAAGTTTTCTATACGGTTAGGGTAGTTAGAGAGAATTCGCTATAGAGCTCTTGAACACAACGCGAAGAAGAAATCACGCGCAGACAGTGCGCTTAACGCCATTTGATACGAAGATACAGGTTCGCAGCATTTCATATTTTTAAATAAAAAATAGCGCATTTTATTGTTTTTGAATAAAATAGCAGCGGACAGTTACAATGAACATACATTTGCGTTCAATAAGAAAATCAAGAAACATTGATGTTTTAACTTTTAATATTTTTTCAGATATCCGGAAAACTTGGTTCCTTTATAGATCTTACTGGCGCTAAGCTGCTTTTTTATTCACGTTCATAGTTCTATCTCGATGTGCGTTATTCTCTCTCGATATAATTCATCCTATATCCTTAACATGTTATTAAAAATCTATCTGTGTATATACAAACAATGTGCACATACGCGCGCGCTTTGCGTCATGCCGAAGGTTGCGCCGGTACCAAAAAAAGTTTGTATCGGTGGAGAATAATATGCAGGCACGCGTATCTCCATGACGCTTCGATACTGCGCGAGGTGCTTCGACGTAGTTCAGGCCGCGGGCAAGGTTGGGCGGACGACGCGGATAAGGAGTCAGCGAGGACATTAGCACTTGACTCATGATTGCGCGTACAAGATCATTAGCGCCATCGACAATTCAGAAAAATCTAATTAGAAGTACATATTTTCAATTAAATTTATAACAATTCCATAAATAATGTTTAAAAGTAAATTTGAGATAGGTATTTATAAAGTAAAAGGAAGAGGAGAGAGAAGAGAGATTATTTCATGAGAAAGAAGACTATTGTTATGAAAGGAAGATGATATTAGATGATATTCTCATACTATAAAGTAAAAGAATTAAAATAATTATTATTGAAGTAAAGGCACTAGATATGGATGATTGCATGCTCGCGCGAGCACTAGTCTCGCTAAGAAAAAATAATTTATTATATTAAATAACTATTGCATTTTTTCATCAAATGACGCATATCGCAAGATTCTTTAGCATTTACGTTAGCTTTATTAATTGTCAATTGTTTCTTGTTTATTAGCAACAGCAACGCTACATTTTATTGATATTAAGTAACAAAACGTGAGACGTTTAGTTATAGCTTTAAAAATTCACTCAAAGTTTAATACCTTGAAGCTAGTCCCCCAAGTATCTAATTGTGGACAATTTTCATTAGTTTATTCAATTAAAATTAAAAAATATAAAATAGTACTAAAATTGAATAAAATATTTTTTTTGTTAAATTACAAACTATTAATTATGTTATTAATTGTTTAATATTTTTTTCTAAATAAAAATATGAATTTTTATCCTTAGGATAATCCAGAACTGGTGCCCTTACGCTAAATTGAGTTAACTAAAATCCATCATATCTATCATCAGTCATTGACCTTAAATAGATTTGATATTGTCGCATAAATAGATTAAGCGGAGCATCTGAAGAGCGAAGCCAGCAATTATGCCTGCCACTGTCAAATCGCACTATAAAAACCGATTTTGAATTTTGCAATATTACATGTTAAATAGCAAATGATACAAGAATTTATAAAAATAATTTATCATATATAACTATATTAATACTTTTTTCAGAATTTGTTTTTTCTCGACAAGCTTTCATAATTGCTGGTCTCACCTTTTTACATGGCGTATATATATAAAAATCAATAAAAATCAATAAAATATTGAAAATTAAAAATGCATTCATGATTCTATGTATATAAAGCAATTAATGGAATTAATGGAAAATGTTCTCGCTAAGATTATTGCTAAACAAAATGGCCAACTAAAGAGCGGCGTGTATTCACTGTGTTATTAGGTATCTAATAACACAATGTGGTTGCGCGTTCAACATTGAGTCAGGGCTGTAAGTAGATTATTACCAGCATGAGTCAGACTTGCAGGCGATACATGATATGACCGAAATTCCGTGCATGTACATATATTATGGCGGGGTATCGTCTATCATATACTTTAACATCATTCATGTAATAACTGAATTTAATTTGCATTTTTTAAGTTGCAACAAATTAAGCTTAAACACAGAATTAATAAAATTTTTATAATTCCTTAATAATTTCGACGTTGCGTTGAAGATATATTGGTAATCGCACCGATTGCATTTTTTAATCTTATTAATACTGGAACGGCAGACATGTTATTTTCGATCGATTTTAAAATTTAACTTTTTGTCGTCCCTTGTAGTTTAATTGCGGTAAAAATTGTACATTTCTAAATTTTTAGCAAGTTTTTTAAAAATTTTTGTTGCAGATCTAATATGAATTACGTGTTAAAATAACACGTCATCCAAGATACAATTTAGCCCATCTATTTGCCCACGGTGAAAAATTTTTTAGAGTACTTAACGCGCGTCAGCACACGTCCAACCACGCGTTTTTCATCTACGAGCGCACGAAGATAAGCCAGGAGGATAAGGCGAACACAGAGTTCACGCGTGACTCTTCTCGTCAGACGACTTTGCGTACCGCAAAGTCGACATCGACGACCGTTGCCATTGGCGTCCTGCAACACCGTCGCGACTCGAAATATAGTACCATCGTCTAAGTTTCCAGGCCCGGCACCAGGCTGTGGAAGGTTTGTATGTCATGGAAGGCGCGGCCGCAACTCTGATTGTTGTTGCGCTCGAACTTGGTGAGATCAAAATGCTCGTCCAAAGACTGCAGCTCAGCCAGTCGTTCCTCCAGCGTCTTTGCCGAGTCGGCGAATCTGGAAAAGTCGCAAAGTCGATCGGGATCGACTACGTCGGCCACCTCCATCATATCGGTTCCCGGTCTCGAGAGTTGTACGCTCGTGTCGTCGAGATCTCCGACGCCGGGGAAGAGCATGGAATGGCAGCTCGTCGTGCTATCGACCCCATTGCCGTTAGTAGAGGTGCTACTTGTGCTGATGATCGTGCCGTTTGGTCGCACGTCTGCCACGCCGCTGCTCAAGCGGTCCTCCGAGAAGTCCAGATGGCGATTGTCGTTATGATGGGACGCTACTGCTTCTGACTGAATTTCATCGATGTGCGAGAGCAAACGTGGCGTCGGCGGCAAGATGTAGAAGTCACTGAATACGTCATCCTGCAAGTCCAAGTCATCGTGCCTATGTCGCTTGGAATTGAGTCCGTCGTTTCTCGAATCATCGGCCAACCTACGTTTCAAAATCACAAATATTGTTAACATGAGGATTGCTTGCAAATAATAAATTCTTATGGTAAATGCACGCGCATGCACACACAAAGTGTACAAACAAATTTTCTTAACTGAAAATTCAAGACAGAGAAAGAGGGGAGAGGAGGGAAGGAGAAAGAGAGAGAGAGAGAGAGAGAGAGAGCCTCAAATTATAATTAAAATTTTATTAGAAAGTAAAATTAAGATTATTCTACTCGGGTCCGATGTCATACCTCTTTCTAGAGGAGGTTTCCTCATCCGTTACGTCGGCAATGAGATTCTCGGCGATGTTATTTTCCTTGCTGGCATCCATGTATGATGCCACCACTGGAAGCGTACCGTAACTCCGTGTCTTCTCGTCCCGATTTTCACGCTGCAATCGTCGTACAGCATTATTTATGAGAACTGATCGGCATAAACTCGCTTCAGGGTCCTCGATCCTCCTCAGCTTGCCGGCGGAAATCTTAAGCAAACGGCGACGTTCTTCGCGGGCGCGATATTTAGCGGAGATCATCGTGGGTCGGCTCCTGCGGATCACCAGATCCTCCTCCAATCTCATTTTAGAATCTATGACAATCAAAAAAGACACAAATATTATTACTATTGTTATTTTTACAGATACTATTTTCATCATAGCCATTGTCTGTTAAAGCTAAGGTCGAGGTCTTAGATGTTTGGTAGTACACTCGAAAGTATTTTTACGAAAGCGATATTCTTTCTTATGACGAATCAAATACAAAGTGCTGACAGTGCTATGTGATGCGATCGCTGCAGTGCAGCGAAAATGCTTTACTAGAAGAGTAGTTGTAACTTTTTTTACATATGAAAGAAATAAATCGAACCTATATGTACATACTTCTTTACCTCCTACTTTTGTCGTATCTATTTGTAAACTGATATGTTTATAATACAATTATCATTAAAAATTGTCAGCTAAAAACTATTAAAATTTAAATTTAACGAATCAATATCTCTATATAGATAATATATGACGAAAATATTCGATGAGCCATAATAATTTACAGTAAAAAAAATAGCCGATAGTTGTCAGTTAATTTTTATTAAGTAAACAATTCAACATGTAATAATTCGTATCATTTAATATATTTCGCAAACTTTGCAAATAAATAGAGTATATTTTCAAAGGGTATTTTATATCGAATAAATCATCGTTTATCAGGTATACAATTTTTAATGATTGACGTACATACAATGTATCTCATTTATACCATTTGTAAATTGACAGAAACTTTTTACATATGGCGTGGCTTTTTACATCTAAACGTTTTTATGCTTATTATAGAGAAAAAGAGAGAGAGAGAGAGAG